TCAGCTTCTCTTATTACCAACACAGTGATTATGAATGCTATTTAAGAAGCAGCGTATATAAGAGTTCACCTGTTCCTCAGGAAGCAAATAGGAAATACAAACCTTATTCAAGGCTGAAAGGCCTATACCTAAGTCTAGAAAAAAAACCTGAGACCCACACTCCTTTTTCTTCCAAATGTGTTGTATGAATAACACTTTAAAAAAAACCCAAACCACCAAACCCAACCAGATCCTATTATTAGGATCCCACAATCTCAGGATATTTTCAGTGTATGAATTTAAGCACGCGTAGTAGTTCCCGTTCCATTCAAAGACAATCTGCTACATAAATAACTTAATGTAACATAGCTCACCTGTTTTAATTATTATTAGGTCTCCTATTCCCTTAGTTTTGTATGGTGACAATTCCTAAATCTTAATGTAACAGATACCTCTTGTAAGTTTGGAGAATCCCAGGATACTACGCTTTAAATAGTTCATATTAGTTAATTTTTGAAATAGTGACTCCAGCTTTTAATAACTCCAAAGCCTTCATTAAAAAGAATTATAAAATCCACTATTTGTGTAAGAGTGGCATACTGACATAAAGGCTTGGAAAATATCTTGCACTTAGAATGTAAGAAATTGGCTTTTTCAGATTTGTTGAACATATTAAAACATTCTTACTGTAGAAGGGAAAATAATCCTTGAATTTGATCTTACTATACCTAGAGCGTTAATGCATTGATTATTTGAAATCAGTGAGAGAGACACACTTGACAGAATGTTCATTGTGTTTCCTTCACTTTAATTTCCTCTATTTCAAAATCACGTTTTCCTTTCTTCTCCACAACTTGATAAGGTGTAGGGAGTAAGGAATACAAAGGAGATTTTAATACAGACTGCAGCCTGGAAAACATACAAGTAGAGGTATTTTTTTTCACAATATTGTCTTTTTCATTCCATGAATGAAGCAAAGAAAGAATTAGTACCATTTCTGGAGAATGTAAGGGGGGAAAGATTAATTTCTTCCACTGACTAGGAGTATTGATAGACCTTGCTTTCTGCCAGCAAATAACTTGAGTCTTTAGTGTCTGTTAAAGATTTGTCTGTCTATTCTGAAACTTTGTTTTTAATTCCTATATTTGAAAATGCAAAGGTGAAAGTTTTTTGCTAAGTCCTAAAGATTAATGCAAAGGTGAAAGTTTTTTGCTAAGTCCTCATTTTGATAGGTTTTCCACCTGCTGCAGAACTAGCAAAACTTTATAATGTGAACATTAAATACTCAATCCAAATGCTAAGTGTTGATTTTCTTCCAATTGCAATGCAGCTGGAAGCTGACAATGAAGTCCAAGCTAAGCTTTAATGCTACCAATGCAATAAAAATGATAATTTTCTTTGCACCAACAATTAATCGTAGATAGAAAATTATTTTCAGAAATTAAAAATTTGAGCCAATTTGGCTCAGGTGCATTTGTACCAACTTCACAATTTCAATGAGTCTGCAAGCCTGTAAATAGAGGAGCAGAGTTTCAACAAAATTCACATTTTATTTTGAAAGAAAATTACATCTCATTATGTAAATGTTCTGTACTGATAAGAGCAAGTGATCTGCTCCTTGAGATAAATAACCACGGCCACTCAGTAACAACCAAAGGTAGGAAGGAGGAGAAAGCAGTAATAGAAGCACACTACAGAAAGATAGTTGATGATAATGTATTTTTGCAGGCACAAAGCAAGTCTTTAACAATAGATAGTTGTGATTGTAAATAGGTAGCTATATATAGTTTCAATTCCAGGTATGCTATGCTCACGGCTGCAGTAGGAACCTATTGTAAAGTACAGTTTGACAATTGATCTTTCTGTTCTTTGTTTCTTTTCTTAAAATCCAGGGCACCGATGCCAGTAAAAAAAAAATAAGATGGAGTTTCAATTCCGGGTATGCTATGCTCACGGCTGCAGTAGGAACCTATTGTAAAGTACAGTTTGACAATTGATCTTTCTGTTTAAGTTATATATGCCTATTCTTTGTTTCTTTTCTTAAAATCCAGGGCACCGATGCCAGTAAAAAAAAAATAAGATGGATTCACAAACAACTATAGGAACATGAATGGTTTTCAAAGCAGCAGACAGAAGGGATTTTAGGAATAAAGATAACGTGAGTTGGAATGTATTTCCCATACAACAAAAAAACGCTGGTATGGGCAAAAGAGTAAGAAGTTGCAGGTAAATCCATTTTAGTCACCAATGTGTATACGTAAAAGTTCACATTTTCAGAGTCACAAAAGTATATATATAAAAGTTCAGTAAAGTTTTCAGTGGAGTTGTAAACTTTCACTTTTTCCTCATAATGTTACTTTCTTCCCAGGTTTCAACTTTCCAAAAGAAAAAAAGATTCCAATCCCATCATGGAGACTGTAGAGGGAACATTGATACAGCCTGTATTTTAGTTACCTTTCCCAGAATATTTTCATAGGCCTTGCAAAAAATGAGTAAGTGTTTTCAACCAGATCAGAACATTTACTCTGCCCAAACTCCATCCCTCTGAACGGCTTCTGTTGCAGATTCTGGTATCACAGGTTCGCTCTTTTACAGAGAAAGGAAACTGAATGAAAATGGAAAGTTCATAAAGGCAGACTGATAGGGAATATAGGAAAACTACCTGATCTTACAATATTAAATGTTTTTATTATTGCATTCCTTGCTACAGTTTTGCCATCTAGATACTGCATTTTAAAGAAGGGAGAATTTAATTCTACAGAACAGAACAGTACATTGCAAAATATCATATATTTGCATCTCGTAAGGGGGAATATATCTGGGGGAATAAATCTGGAAACTGAAAGTCATCTAACTGCTTAATAATCTTCATTGTTCCCTACAGTTTCTTTTTGTTAGTTCATGTTCAATATTTGTGTCTTAATTAAGTGTTTTTTTCACAGCCCAGAATTTTTAGTGCTATGTCCCTATTTCTGTTAACACTTAAATTTATGCCCAAAATTTCATCAATTATTTTCTGCTGCAGACATGAACTACACTCCCAACAGGCCATCTTCATTATAGCAGCCCTGGGTTGCATAACATTTTTAATAAAATTACTCTTATTTTCAATAAAGAAATAATCACATATTCAAATAAATACCACATGAAGACAGCTGCTTGCTCGTTGAACAGTCTCCAGCAGCAACATAAGCACTGAAAGGGCTGGATTGGTGTTGGATGGATCTCAGTAGCAGCTGCGGGGTGAAAAGAGAATGACCCATAGGTAATGCAGCTTTCTGTGAAGAACCGAAGGAGCACAGAAAATGCTCTCCATACTCCATCCTTCTTCCTCTTGAAGTGCATGCTGCAGATTCTTTAACAAATGGGCATCTGTAAAAGGCATTGTCAGGGGACACCGTTATAAGGGCAGCAGTCTGCTTTCTGTTTGCGGGAAGGAAACCCTGCGTGATGAGCGCCTTTCTGCACATAAATTAGTACAACGCTCCCAGAATCTTTGTGCTGAGTGACCATAAAGATGAACGACCAGATGAAAAATGTGGCCTAGTCAATGCAAATCTGAAGAAAATCAGTATAAATCAAAGGAATAATCTCATTTATTTCAGCTTCGTTCAAATATTGGCAACACTACAACCTCGTCTTCTGCAATAAGGCTTTGTAAATTAGTATGCTTATAAATAAAAACTGAGCATATGACTTTGTCATCAACAATATAGAACAATGTAGAATGATGATTTTTATATTAGACACTTTTTCATCGGGGTAATTATCATACCCAGATGTATAGAGTACGGAACCTCTCAAATCAGGTGTAAGTACAGATGCAAAATCTTCATTTTGCATCAGAAGAGTAATCTTAAGATGGCATTTTCTCACAATGTTGGTTAACCCCCAAACAATAACAATGCATAGTTCTTGACTACATTTTAAAACAAAGACAATGAAAGCAATCATGGTCAGTCTGAACACTGAAGCTATGAAGCCACTGATCAGTAGTTATGAAAGGGCACGTTCAACTCATGTAATTGTCACCAGCAGTGAGGAACAAAAGCAAGATCTTATGCTTACATGAAAAACATCTAATATTTATAAGAATAATGTTTACATGTTCCCATCAATATTTTTAGAAAGTTCAGTGTTTACATTACTGACTGAAAGAAAACTTTGTTTCTAATAAAACTCTAATTAAAAGTTATATGTACAGAAAACAGCAAGTGTGGTAGGCATTTCATTTATTGTAATAAACGTATTAGCAAAGCATCACTGTCATAATTTGAAAGTAAAACAGAATCACATGCATTCCTTTGGCAGTTGTAATAAACACATAGAGTAGGGAAGTAGCATTACTTTATTCTGCAGTGTTGCAACACCCAGCATACATCCCTGGTCAGTCCTGAAATAGATTCTGTACAAGCTATAAGAAATTTATTCCTCCTGTGTACTGATTTCCCTTTGTTCATCTGATGTTAGGGATGTCTCGTGTGCATATAGATATGCACAAGCAAAGCCTGAAGACTGAATATCCTGGGTTTTAATAACAATGAAAGTATTTAGAAATAATACCTCAATATCTTTACCAACCGACCTTACCTATTTCCTTATAACCAGTTCTACATATTGTGTGAAGTTACATAAGTAAATATAGTAATGGGTGAAATTGCAAAGAAAAGTAAGAGTTTGCTTGCTGGCTTACCTGTAGCATGGTACTGCCTTGGACAGTGACCATTACTAGTACTTCTAGAAGCAGTTGAAAAATAAAATGCATGAAGAAAAAAAACAAACCCCAGCAATTATTTTTCACTCACTGCAGACCTGAGTTATTTTCAAAGTGCTGACTCACTGATGACAGTTTCTGCACTGTCCTGAGTAATCCAGAAATAAATCAACTAGACATCCCCATTTTGTCTTTTTCTTTCTTATTTTATTTTTAATTATACATTATAATTAACAATTATAATTAATTATATAATAATGTGTTTCAGTAAGCACAGAGGCACTTCTCTATCGGAGAAGTTCAGTTGCTAACCATTCCATAGTTTATGCCAGTTCATGAAAGCGTGAGTAACAGGGAGTTTCCTTTTTCCCTATATATCCTCTGACAAAGCCAGAATGTTTTCCAGAATGGCAACATGAAACTTGGTGCCCTCAGCTTTCACAAATTCCACGAAAATCTGTGGAAAAAAACCTGACTTTGGTCTATCACATTCAGAGCCTCACTCACAGACCTGCTGACAGTTACATGGAAGTTGGCATCTCTGAGGCGGTGTAACTGGAGGATCCCTGTGACTTGAGCAGTGAATGGAGCCAGGGAAAAAAAAGTCTAATTTGACTTCCACAGGCTGTTCCAGTGATTTGAAGGGTGGTACTGACGGGGCTCAATGCAGGCCAAATATATCTGCCTCCTCCCCGGGCTTATTTTTTAAACAGGCAGCAGTTGCCCACAGGGAGGTGGCAGCTCACGTAGCCCTTCAAGCCCTCATGGAGGGCCTCTTCACCGAGCGTCACATCATGCTGCTGGGCGCTGCTGGTTAACCCACATGGGTGGTCAAATGCAATTTGTTCTGAGGGTCAAAGAAGCAGTTTCCCTCTAAGTCGTTGTAGCGGGTCAGGAGCACGTACTTATTTGGACGGGGGTGAAGGTGTCCATTTTATGACAGGCCCCCAGGGCGGGCAGCCTCCTGCCTGACCAGCTTGTTACCTCAGACTGGAGCAGGGATGTCTCGGACAACCTGGCTGAAGCCCCCAGGAGAGGGGGGACTTCATCCCCGCAAATGTGAGACACCTTCTCCAGCTCGCACAGCTCCTTCCTAACGCACGTACTGGGCGCAAGGGCTATTCAACAGGCAGGAGGCCACAGGCAAAGGGAGGACTGGGTGTTGAAGGGAAGATGCCCAGGATGGCGGCAGAGGGGGGGGGGAAAGAGGGGCCCTGCAGTTTATGACCTCACAGCGGCAGCTGAGGCGGTGCTGTGTGGGGCCAAGGCTGGGGCCATACCGAAGGGGTGCTGGGCATCCCAGAGGGGGTGCGGGGGGGTGTGAGGGAAGGGAAAGGGTACCACCGGGAACTGGAGCAAGCCAAGGTGATGTCCTGCCAAATGCTGCCAACGTCACCTCAGTGAAGAGACGGGAGCAGGCGATGCAGAGCTGCCATGGAGGAGAACAGATATCCTCCTCCTGCTCTACCTCCTCCTCCTCTTCCTCTTGTCTCCTTGCCCTGCGACCACTGCTGTTGTATGATCTACCCCCTGAGTGCCATTTTTCCCCCCCAGGCCCGGTCTGTGTACACATGGGACCCCCCTCAAGCTGGGTGGCAGGGGAGAGCCTGGGGCAGCCATCTAGTCCAGCCTGGCCTACTTGAGGTTGGCTGGGTGGGCTTGGTGCTGTGAGCCCTCACCTCGTTGATGCTTTTTTTTTTGGCACTCATCTTTTTTTTGGCACTCGTCTTCCCGCCATTCCCCACAGCTGAGGCATCCCTTCCACCTTCCCACGTTTCCCTCCTCTCAGTGCACCCCTTTCTTTTCCCCCTCACCACCCCTTCTTCTCCTGCACACCCTCCCCTTCTCTTTCCCTCTGGCCCTTTTTTGGCACCTTTTCCCTCAGAATCTCTGGGTGTGGAGCAAAAATGTCTTTCTGCACGCCTCGGAGCCTGCTGTGTTATCAGAAGACAAGGATGTTCTAGAGTATGAGAAAAACAGAGCGCAAGACTTTAAGGTTTAAGAAAATTAAACTTTTCTCCCTCTTCACCTGCTGAAAGGCAATGACATGGGCCAGAAGTTTCCTTAACCGGATCCCTCATACGTGGTTTTTGAACATCATTCAGAATGAGTTCAGGACTGGGAAAATTGATTTAGACAGCACACTGAAGCTGCTTGAAACCCTGCAATTGCCTTTTAATTCCACACATGTAAAACATGTTTTCAAGGTGAGGAAAATGTAGATTAAGCAATTAAATACATTTAAAAGTCCAGCAACACACGCACCTTGTTTGCTGGCATTTAAAAATTAATGTTTCAAGAAGTGAATTTCATACTGATAGGGCATGCTAATAATTTGCCTTGTTCACGTCTTTTGTTGGTATAAATTAGATAACTGAGTGATTGCCACCATCATCTCTTCACCAAACCAAAATAGTGTAGCATGATGGAAAATATGTAGGTATTGATTCCCAACCGTTTTCTAACAAGGCCTCACTTGAGAAAAAATATTGTGGTTTCATCGCAACCAGCTGCTTCTGTGATCAAGCAAATGAACCCAGACATGCCTATCTGATGCTGGGCAGAGCCATTTAGACTTCTTAAAAATCCTTTTGCCAGAAGAACAATATGGAGTTCTCTGATCTGCTCAGGCTTCAGGTCAACATAGATCCAGCACTCTCATTCACTCAATTTTCCACTATACCTCTGCCTTGAAGTATTTAAGAGTTGTGCCTGAATGGTTGGGAATTGCACTCTACCCCCTGGGGAAGGATGTGGCCTTCAGATAAGGCAACATTTAAGAGATTTCTATGAAATTTACATGGTATAGCTAGAAATTAGATATAATAGTAAGTTAATTTAATGTAGGTAAGCAAATTACCATCAAATGGATGTGGTCCAGTGAGCAAATAGTGCAAAATTGAGTGCCTTTGGACATATCGGGTTATCTTGTTCTTCAGGTCCCCTCATGTAATTACTCAAAAGATGTACCCATTTTCCTTTTAGCTCATTTTTTTTAACCAAAAATTGATGTTTGGTAGAGCTGTTTTCCTAAGGGAACAAAGCGAAATGGCTACATATATATGGGATTCTTTGAGAATTTTGTAACCAAATGGCTGATTCTGTCCAGATTTGACAGAGGAGAAATAACTGTGGCTATTCAGAAACTTTTAGGTCACGTCATGCTGACAGGCAGAGGGAAGGCATTAGGATTTCCTGACTCTATCTTGTTCCTCTCTCTTTCATCTCTGCCTTGTCAAGCCAAGGTAAAACTGGCAGCACGAACTCAACCCTTGCTAAAGAGGGTGCCTGTGGTTTTTGAACTTGCACTGCATTGGGAGAATTGCCAACCTTGAGAATCTGAAATGATTTTTTTGGGTTTTGAACTTGCACTGGAATATGAGAATTGCCAACCTTGAGAACCTGAAACTATTTCTCACTGTTTTCTGGATTTCCCACCAAATTTGCTTTCTGACAGAAACTTTAGAGCTGCATAGAACAATCTGATCTAGTTATATTTAACAGTATAATATACTTAACAATCTGATGTAGTTATTTGTAGCAGAACTGTTAGATATTCTTTTCTATTTGAGAAAAATTTGAGTGTTTTAAATAGTTTTGGGGCTCAAATTGTTCATCAGTATAACAGTACATAAAAATGCAAAGCAGCCTGGAAGGAAATCTTACTGGCATTGTAAGTAACCACTTATCAACAGTTAAACGAATGGTTGTACATGACAAAATAAATGTTGCAGAAAACATAGTTTTTAAAGAATAATCTGCTTTTTTCTTGTCTATTCTCTTTGAATTTATTTTACTGTAATGTTCCTTTGAGCAATATCTGCATTATGAACATTAAGATTTCTAAGGCATAATAGATTTTCATATAATTCATCTCAAGACTAAGTCTTTGTTCCAGATATATTTTTTCTGAATAGCAAAGGTTTGACTTGCATTAATAAAAATAGGAATAATAAAAATCTACCAACAAAATTTTTATAACAATCTTTTTTTTAAATCAACATGATTTTCTTAACTTTAATTTGAGCTCTCCTATGTAATATTATTTCCTTCAAGAGGAGACTGTGATGGAAAATACAACTTTTTTGCCAAGCTTGTCTTTATGCCAATACCTAAGTGAACATTTCCTGAGTCCAGATAAAATGTTTTATTCCAAAATAAATTGGTATTTTCTTTTAATATTTAACAGTTATAGGTAAATTTGCAGTTTTCTTACAGATGTTAAAAATTAGAATGAGGATATCGACCTTAGATGTGGATTTTCTCAAGCAGTTATAAAATGCATATTATTAACAAGTGCATTGAGTTATTTTCTTACTGGTGAGTTTTCTTAAAAATGATCATCACAATTCCATTTCACAAATTCAAAGCAAATACTCAATTACTGATTTGTCAAATTTTTGGCTAGAACTCCTCATGAAATTTACTTTTGTACTTGTTTTGGTTATCTAACATATTTTTACTTTTAATGCTGAACTTATTCAGAGATGTCTTAGTAGGAACTGTACTGCATAAGATGTTGGTAATGCATCATCAGGCTTTTAGTTTTTATGATGTCTCTTCAAAACTAACCTAATTTAGTAGTAATCAAAACTATTTATCAAAGAGCAGCCAAAGCTTAAGTAAGCCACTTTATGGATAATTTTGGGGAAGCTGTAATAACCATAGCAGGTGCCACGTTATCAGATGCTGAATAGGATATATATAAAAATATATATATAAAATAAGTTGGTAGTCTCACTTTAAGGAGAATTTTGATCAGTTTACAGTAGTAATCAATGAGGTAATGAATTGCCATTTATTTCTGATTTTATGAGCAATTTTGGCAGTAAATTTCCAAAGTTTCTCTTAACTTAGCAACTTTTAAGAATAATGCAAGCTAAACTGTTAGAAACATCTTTATTTCATGTGCATGATTATGTTTTTCATGTAAAAACTTTTAAAGGATAAATAAAATTGGTAAACCTGAGAAAAAAGTAAATGGCAGGAATGGTAAAAAAGTATTATTCTACTCAAATTCATTTGTCCTTTTAATTTTTCTCATGGCTTTTTTTATTGAAACACTGAAATTAATTAATATGCTAACATTTTTAAAGCTCTATGAAAACAAGTTTACAGTTAAAGAGTTCTGTAAGTGTGAATACATAACCTGAGTTAAACATTCTGGCTTGTTAGAACACAATGTCATAGGTTCTTATAAAGTATCTTGTCCCCAGATTTTAATAGTATTTTGTATTCGATATATTGTAAGGCTTGGACCTCATGATAATTTGGTCATTCTTGTTTCATTTTTTAGATTACTGTTTGCTGTATGTTGTATGTTAATGTATCTGAAAGTATTTACAATATGTTTTAAATTGCTGTTGGACAGTTATTAGATTCAATATATTTTTCCACTCGATAATTTTTATGCTGCAGATTTATTTTACTCCATAGCATTTTAGATGTTTTATATAATGTGTTTTAATTTTGCATATGCTTTATATAGACATTTATTCTAATTACTTAGATGTTAATTATTTCATACGGTACATTTTAATTTATAAAAAACAGTTTAAACACACAAAGACAAATCTAAAAGTTGCATACGGAAGTAGAAGAATATAATTTGATAATGCATTGCAGTCACTGTTGCCTGAGGTCTTCTCTATTCTTCTCGCTTTTATGATCAGTTATAATGGAGTGTTTTGTATGCATTTCTGTATCATTGCATATCTTTGTATTGACTGTTTTGATTTTTTTTTTTTTCAGAAAACTGTTGACAAACGGAAGACACATTTGATTACCATGGAGGACTTCAGGGCAATTTATCGAACTATTGTACACAGAGCTGAATTTCAGGAACTTTTCCGTGCTTACTGTCCAACCAGCAAATTTCTAGCTGACACCGAGCTCATTGAATTTCTCAGAAAAGAACAACATGAAACTGAAACTTGTGAAACACTGGCCTTAGAAATGATTTTGAAGCATGAACCCATTGAAGAAGGTAGGCATAGTTCATGCTAAAAAAACTGTTGATTCCTTATGCCATTACTTTCCAAGTTTGCCTTTTAAATTAGAACATATTTTGTTGAATATGTGCTACTTTTTTTTAGAACGAATGCGTTTACTAGTTCATTATATAAGTTACCAGTTTAAAAGGTTCCTTTTGTTTTGAGTTATCTATTTTGATGGGAAAATTAATAGCTATAAAGGAGTTAAACAATAAAGAATCTGTAGTTAATTAGAAATCATTTGTAAATATCAGTTGAAGTTTCTAGAGTTTTAATTTAAGTTCT